AAAAAAAAAAAACAGTCAGACCTCTAACAAGGAAAATAAAATTTTCATGCAAATTTGTAAAAGCCCCCCCAACTTTCCACCCTTTGATGTAGACAAATACTTCCGAAATGTGTGCAGCCTACTATGCAATGAAATTTTCTCTCGCACAGGTCTTTCTCATGGGCCTAAGAGAAAAGAAGCCCAGCCCCAGAATTTGCTTATTTTAAGTTCTGAAGCATTTCTCTCAATTTTAGATACACCCTCCATTCATAATTTTCTGGCCTGTCCTGAAATTTTAATCTTGAAAACAAATAATTTCTTGTAATCTGTACAATACAGTTATAGTTTGAAAGAATGGAAACTAAATTAGTTGTTTTTCTTGAAGATACTAACACTAGAAGAATTTGCACAGACTTATTTGGAATTCTTGGATAATCCATTCTAAAAAAATGAACTATTATGGAAATGAAAATCAAACCTTTATAAATACCATTAAGCTACTATTACTAACATAGATGAAGTATCTGTATTCATTAATTCAAATATTCAATCTGTACAAAAGTGGCTTGTACCACTGAGCCTAAGGCATTGGTTTGTTCATGTGGACTCTCCAGTACAGATAGCGGAATTCCAGTCCATTAAAGAGAACAGTTACAACAAGATGTATTCCACTTCATAGTTACTCATGGAATTTGGTCAAATAAAAAAGAAAATACACAACTTTTCTCCAATTTATTTTGGATTATCACCCACCAATGGTTGTGCAAAATTATTATTTTTAACATTATGGTTAGTAAAAGGACTGTAAAGCACAATTTCAGAGTAAATGTTGGAGCAAATGTATTGTCAGTGTTCTAACAATGCTTTGCACTTCTTTGCTTAACAGAGTAGGAGAAAGCAGCAAGAAGTAGAAGAGACAGAAAGCAAAAGTACCATAATCTCATAAAGCGCATTTGCTGTAAAGAGCGTCGCGTCTTCCTTCCCCTTGGAACAATGTGGCTGTTAATGGGAAAGGAGCGAGACAGAACACAAAACCTTTATTGGAGCCAAGAACGAAATGAGGCAGAAATGCACGCAGCAGAGGTGGAACACACAGTTCTGTGGCACTTCAGACAGAATTGTGGCATTTTTAAAAGAAAACCAGGACCTATTACTCAGTGTGAGCAAATTCAATAAAGCTATAGCTCTGTTGAGGTCTGAGAGCTGTATGAGGCAATAGTGGAAGAGCAGGGGGAAAGAAGGGATAGTTAATTTATCCTGAAAAATGAAAGAGCTGTTTTGAAACCAATTAAGAGGTACACACTTACTGTGTGAGAATGACTGAAGCACCAAGCACTTTAGGAGATGGTGGAGAGGCTATCTGAGTCTGCCTTCTGAGGGTTGTGGTTGTTGTTAATGGCATTTAGGTTGTTCATCTGGTTGTCTGCTTTGCTTACAACTTTAGAGCCTGAAATGGCCTCTTTCTGGATTGGATCCTGGTCATTAGTCACTACATGCAAGTTGCCTAGGGATCTGGCTAGCCTAGAATTTAACAATTGGCTGTTACAGAAGGAAGACATGGTTAATTCATGTTTGGAAACTATTGCTCTGTTGAGTTTGCTTCAAACACTGGCTTTAACTATGAAAACATAACAAGTTTGATAAAAAACAAATGTGTTACTCAAGAGCCAAAATTACTGCAAATATATTTACGGATCAAATGAAAAAATAACTTGTCACATGAAAGATTACCATTATTTTTTGAAAGCATTAATATTTTAACTGATAAATGCATTTCAGGTTCAAGAATACATTGCAGAACAGATGTATTTCTTGATTTATTTTTTCTTTCAAAACCTAATGCAGCATATAAAGATGTGCCATAAATGGTATCTAAAGTAGCAAACATTGAGCAAAGCCTTAGATGTTTCACATTGGTAAATTAATACCTACCCTGTACAATTCAAATACATCTGTAGTTATAATAGCTACAATATGTGCAAATCAGCGAAAAATGTGATGTAGCCAAGAGTCATTTACTGTAATTTTATCAAAAGCAATCTGTTTTTTCCAAAGTTTTAATACCAATGAAAACAATTTCAGATAGCCATGCAAAAACTATACTCAAAACTGCATAATGCATACCAGAAGTCAATCCTGAATATGATCCAAAACATCCACTTTTAAATTTGAGACAGGCAGGACCAGAATAAAAGGTCCTGCCACAGAATGCCCCTGAAATAAATCATTTTACTGGTTTAAATTAGGGAATATAAGACTTTATGACCAGAAAATTACATTAGAAGGCTATCAATGAAAAACATCACTGACCTCCCCAAACCATCATATCCCATTGTAGACCTAGTCCTTTTTCTAGCATCTGTGCTGTTTGACAGGCTTGGTGATTTTACAGGCTTACAGCTCTGCACACTGGACTGCAAAATAATCCTAGATTGAAAAGATTGACCAGTTTTAAGTACGACATTAGAAAAACTGCAAAGAACAAAATCATTTTCATCGCTTTGATGATAAAGGTGAAATAGGAAAGAATGAGATAACAGTGGTCTGTCTGCAGGGAGCAGCGGGAAATTGAATGTTTAGATAAGGGAGTTCCAGGTTTGGGGATTGCAGCATAGAATGCCAAAATCAAAATACTGCATTTTACAGGATTTTTAAACAATTACCAGAGCAAGACAAGAAAACATTAATACCAAGTATGAAAAACGTTAAAACGAGGAAAAAAAAACTAAATTATAAAAATGTAACAAAAGCCTTCTTGTGTGAAATAATCGAAATACTCAAGTTTTTTTTATTTGAAAATTTGTTTATAAAAATATTTGATTACAAACATACCTAAATGACTGCGATGATGACCGAGTATGAATTTTGTTCTCTTCCAATCTGAAAAACAAGCATTAACATATTACAGCACCCCATCAATACATTCACTGTCTAAACTTAAATAAGCTTGTGACAGCAGGTGTCTCAAAACAATGTACAAAATAACCGATTAATAGTCAAGACTGACGAATAGATCCCTTCAGCATTTTCTTAATGAAATGGTATGCAAATGTTGTAGTATTCCTCAACCACTGGCAATCCCAAAGAAGAGCTGCAGACATTTACCCCTGTTAGAGCTTGCAATCTGACTTGAATGCCATGCACCTACGTAAGCCCCAAGAGTACTATGAGCACTAAGACTGGAGACACATGGAAAGCTGATAAAACAATAGCACAGGAAAATTAGAACAGCATGTAACTTACAACTGGTTGCTAAGTAAATAAAAACATGAAAATAGCAACACGGACTTTCCGAACGGATCTGTATTATTCCTCAAGAATAATAGTTGAAATATTCCGGTCTTCATTTTACTCCTTTTAATGTTTTAATTTCAAGCTTTTACATGACACACCCACTAAAATTTGGTCTTAGCATGGAACCTTTTATCACTGAGCAAAGATCTTCTTAATGCTTCCATTAAAGATTTACTTATTCTGTACTTAGTTACAGAATAATTTTAATGCATGGGACAGACATTCATGTACTGAAGATATACAGAACATGTTAATGAGAATGATTACATGTAACAGGAGTAATATGGATAAATAAAATACATTTGTAATTAGACGCACATGATACTCATGTTCAGTGGAATAGTTTAAAAATTATTAAAGACTTTATTCCATGTTTTATGCTTTAACTTGGTAATTACTGAATTACTTTAGAAAACACCAGATATATCAAGTCTATACAGTCCAGTGACAGTGATATGAAATGGTACAATGTAATGTATTTCAAACAAGTTTGAAGTAAAGCTGTAAATAAAGTTTCACATTAAAATTCAGTAGGTTCAGCAGAAACATAGTAACTGCAGAAAAGCATCTTAATGCGGTTTTCTTAGCCAGGGCTGGCTTTGTGTGCAGCAACTGAAAAGCAGCACAAAGGAAGGCGAGCAACAATTCTGCCTTTTTTTTCCTCTGTTGCAAGAAGCAAAGAAGGCCGTGTTTACTTGACACTGAAAAGAGCTAACCCAGGTGTAACAGAATATTGCCCTTGGGCCTAAAAAACTGAGCCAACAAGCAGCCTTAACACTCCAAGTAGAGAGCAAGTGCCTTGGGCAATGTAAATATCATCAGTCAACAAAACAGTTCTTCACTCTAAACTTGTCAGAATTTCTCAGCACTAGTCTGAAACTGACCCTACTACAAATATGAAATACATGAATGGAGCTCGATATCATCATTAGGCTAGCGCCATTATCCCCTTTTAAAGGAGATTTTGGAAATGGGGCAGGAATCTCAAAAAACACAATGCCCACTTCACATAACAGTAGCATAACTAAAATGAATTCGTAATCCGCAAATGGAGGTATTCACCTTCATCCAGGTTATTTGGCTCATGTAATACTGAGCAGAAATTTATTTTAATGGTACAAAACAAAATACTTGCACTTTTTTTGTATCCTTCATTTCTTGACTGATTGAACTGTGTTCTTATTTTGCTGTTTAGGAACATCTTCGTACTCTTAAGTCCTAGATCTACTCTAGTAATATCTGTCAGACTCCACCCTCCTTCACATCTGAACATCGAAACAAGCGAGCAAGGCCAAATTCTCTCCTGAACATCAGCCAGGTTACATTTTAGTTTCCACAATTTATTTTCTTCTTGAGCATGCCTACTTGCTCCCACATGCATCTGAAAATGAAAACAGCCTTTCTCGCAGCTCAAGCTTCAGTGAGATGACAATGTACGGAGGTATGATCGCTTTCAGGTTCCTATGGGAAAGAGTTCAGTTCTGCTTCTGCGTTTTAAAATATTAGCGGCACTTTGCAAATGGTCGGCATCATTACATTTTAATATCCAATTGTTAAAATGCCAAGTCTGTTGACCCACAAAAGTACAGAAATGGGAGTAGCACTTACGGCGATGCCTGTTAGGCTCCAGGGAGATTACTATAATCCTAACCCCTCTAGACAGATAAGTAGGATGGGAGAAGGGAAGCCACAAACAATCCACCAGATGACAATGCTACACAGTGAAGAGAACAGCATAGCTACCAGCCATCTAGAAGGAGGGGAAAAATATGAAATAAAAGAAAAAAGAGTGGAGAAGCAAAAACCTTCCAAGCCATTAATGAAATCTGGAAAGAACAATGCTGCCCAATACACTGCAAATACACGAACAAGCCATGCTCAACGAGATGTTATTTGAAGGGTCATGCAAAAGGCAGAACACGTCAAGGACCTCAGAGGGTTTTAGCCATCTTTTCAATCCTTTGCAGCCGCTTCTACCCCTTCATTAAAAAATGTTCTAATGAGTTCTCAAAACGCTTCATATATTTTCCCCACATGAGAAGAAATATAGTGCAGTACAGAACTCTTCTTGACAGGATGGCAGTGGTTCAAGAAAGTTCATCCTACATTACGGATGAATGGAAAAGTCATATCAAATGTAGCAAACCACCTGGCACAAGAAGTGTGTAATTACACCTCTCATGGCAAAAGACACGAGTGTGGGGACAGCCATCAAGTTTGATAGAAGCTGTAGAATCCAGGAAACCGTTTCAACGTAACCATGCTCATGCCCTCACGGTTATCTGCATATCACATTGTATTTTCTCTCTCCCCCGTGACAATTTACAACTAAATGAGAAGCATCTAGGAATGGAAATCTATCACACATTTCCTATTGTACACACCACAGGATGGTGAAGGGCTGGTGAATCTTTAAGACATTCCTACTCGTACATGGCAACCTGGAGTATCAAATGGCTACAGTCATAGAATGGAGCTAAAACTTTTGAAATCAAATTAGTGCTGTATTATTTTACAGAGAGCCATGTCTGACAGCAGCAACAGGAAAAAAAACAGATGTAGGAAAGTAGACCTCTCAATAGACGGTCCACAATTTTAATTACAAACATTTTAATACAAAACGTTTAATTTTATAAAGTTATATTTAATTTCTAGGAACAACAGACAAATTACAACTAGCAATTCAGAAAGTAAAAGTGGTTTTAAATCTCACATTGATTTTTTAAACCCATTTGCAAAGAGAAATGTTTGCAGTAGTTAAAATGTAGCATATATAAGCAGAAACGTGTTGCACAGTATGCTCTCCATTCATACCTATTGCTTTTTATACATTATAAGGACAAAAACTAAAGAATGAAAAAGGTCCATATGACAGTTAAGAAAACATACAGCTGCCTTTTGGATTATTATACTTAGAATATGCTTCTACAATCAATGTTAGCATAGTGTAGTACATATTTAAACAAAGAATACACTTATGTGCCCACAACACCCAGCTGTCACGTCTCAGTTTTTATTAAGTTCAAGTGTTCCATCACACTGAACGTAGAGGCGCAAATACTATTGACGTGCTTGTGGTTTAGACAGCCACACTCTTAGAATTACTTGATATTAGGGGTAGAGAGAAGGATAAATGTCTTGAATGATTTTGTCACGATTATATTCAAATATTTGATGTGATGTTACAAAATTAAAGTCATTCTTCTAGTGTACAGCATAGCAATCTCTAAAAGAAAAGAAGTTCTCACAGAACACATGATCAGTATACTTGTCAATGTCAATCTGTCATTTTGTGAAAATCACAGGCTATACATAACCCCTCAGAAAAATTAAGAACAAATCTACATTAAAATCATCAGGCAATGTATTCAAGAAAAGGTTGCTTACCTTGGAAACACATATTTTATTTTCCTCACAGTCACCACTGCAGAAAGCTGTGTTATCTTTTCAATGTGAGACAACATTCAGCCCAGATAGCACTGAGGAGACTGCAGCATTTTACTACTGTTTGCCTGTTGTGTAATAAAATGATTTTCAATGCCATAATCACAGTTTTGACACAGATTTTGCCATGGTATGAGCAAGCTGTGCAATATGCTGATGACAGGGCATTTGACCCACTGCCATTTATTTAAGGGACTGGGGAATAAAGTTTACCATGAGGCTTAAAATGCTTCACTGCAGATACATTGGAAACAGGTTTATTTTTAGAGGAAATGATCAATTTTAATATCAGCAAGACAAAGTAACAATTTCATTATAGCCTGCTTTAGTGAAATCTATTCTCATTATGAAGAAACCTATGATCCATGTAAGATGAGGCAGCATGGAATGAAATGAGACAGAAAATGCAATATTCATCTGCCCGTTTTTTTTAAGTTACAGAACAAATCATATCAGATTGATCAATTTTAGTTAACTATTTTCAGGCACGCCAGATTGCGCCATTGCATTCATGTTTGTGCCAAAAAAATAACATACTGATTAGTGTCAACAGGGTGGGTGTGAAATCAGTAAGACTGTTGAAGATACGGTGATAAACTATGCTGTTTTTGTGTCCGTTACTGGACAAAATCTCCAGCAGCTGACTAGAGGCCAGCTATCAGAGACGTAGCTTTTGCTAGGTATACGCTTTACATCAGCCTTATTAGACAGAACAAATTAACCGTTTATTGACCGTTCAGCATCAGGTATATTCTATGGAACTTTATTCGAAAAGCGTAACTGCCTCCATGTTTCTGTGGCCTGTTTCTCCATCTGAAGATACACTACAAATAAGCAGACTCCTCACAATTTATTGTAATATTATAAAGTCACCAACTTCATAACCACCATTAAGTATGCAAATAAATGGGTTTTGACTATTTTAATGCCCCTGTTACTTTGCTGCATCTCTTAAATTACATTTTTAAGCCTGAAAGTAAACTCTCCACCACCCAACTTATGAACCTGCATGGAAAAGGAGAGCGCTGATTAAAACAAACGTGGACGTGGCGTTGAATGAAGGTGTCAAGGGAGACACTTACGAGAATGATCCTGTGGAAGCTCTGGCCTGTCGTCTGCTTTTTAAAGCACGCAGTTTGTCTCCTTGGGTAATACCGTTTCTTTCTTCTTCATCATTATACTTCAAGGCAAACAGAAACAGAAGGCTGAGTTTTAATTAAAAAAAACACTTTCACAAGTCAAATCTCAAATTTGCAACTACTTTCATTAATTAGGCTGTTCTGAACTAAAGCAGATATTGAAATTTCACAATATAATAAGTTGCACATCCAAAATAGTCTGTACCAGCAACCCAGAATTTTAGTACACCAAATACGAAGCACAAAAACAAGGAAAAGAATAGTACCACTTCTGTTTCCAGTTTTCCAGATGTTCTGTTCTTGTTACCATTGATTGAAATATCATCGACCCCAGACAGGATTCTCGTCACCGAAATTTTGCTGGTTCCATTTTCCTGCTCTTTCATTTTCTCATGGAAGAGACGTCCCTCTGCCCAAAGGCTTTCTTGTTTTCTGTTCCATAATGAAAAATTAGAAGATTCTTTGATTACTGAAATAAGTCTACCAAACCTCAAACATTTTCACTTGATACATTTTATCAAGTTTAGTTACACTTGCATTTCCCAGCAAGATTGAACTATTCAGAAGACTAAGAATGTTTTTTGTTTAGAGGTTTTAATAGTATGGGGCTAAGTGAACTAAACACAGGGTAAGGCACAGATAATCAAAGTATGTTCCTAATGATTTATTATGGTTAACCAAAAACAGTAAATCACCTAGACAGCCCCATAATTAAGAATACATTTTCAACAGTGACTGGCTGAATTCCAAGAGAGGTCACTGAGTCAGCTTCCATACGGAAGAACCACAGCATAAACACAGGGAAAACGAGCAGGACAAGAAGAGAAGAAGAAACATCCTCCTTTTTCTCCAAATATTGAGCCTTGTGAGTAATCCTTGTTCTGATCAGTCTCGGAGACAAAACTTTAGCAAGGCAATGTTATTACAAGAGAACTTGCAGTCTAATTGATTCTAGGAGACTCCGGTCTCCTATATAGTAGAATCCTCAGGCTACAAACATTCTCCCTTATGTTAATGATGCATTGTTAGAAATTGGTTCCCATTCATTTATGAACATCCATGTTTAGGCAGAGAGATTCATGCACTTGAAATATGCATTTTTGTCAGCTGTTTGCACTTTGGCCTGTTTAACGTGTTATGAATGCGTATTTGGATTACACGGGCAGAATCCTGGATTTCTAAACCTATAAGAAGTTGGACTCCTGACTCCCAAACATACAGATAGTATGTATGTGCCACAGTGTAATTACTGAATAGTTGTGTTCTTTATTGTACATAAACGTTTGTCTTGTACAAGTTTGGACTCAATTTATTACCCTATTGCTTAATCTATAGATGAAATTAAAAGGAACAAAACTGTAACAATTGGTTATTTTCTACCTGCTTTCTTGTTTTACTATATATAGTTCCATTTTTTATTTTTGCTTTGCAAACTAACAAATATAATTACATGATGCTCTTGAAATTCTTAAATTTACAAATAGATATTTTATTATGGTCTAGTTTAGGCATGCTAATTTGAATATAAAGATTAGTTTCTTACAGCAGGGACAAAAATTGAGTCCTATGGCCAGTAACAAACTGAAATGTCCACATACTATCTCTTTTAGGCATTTATTGACCTTCAGAGTGCAGCCTAGTTAAGAGAAAATGTCTGCAGATTTAAAATGTAAGATATGTTATGCAATCTCTCCCTTGCCTAAATAAAATACCAATTAAACTCTTAAACTTACTCTTGCACAAAATTCTGTTGAGGGCCAATGACTGAACCTGGTCTGCAGATTCTAATCCAGGCAATGGCTTCAGCAGCTGTTAGCTGATAGTGTTTCATCATATAGCATCCGATTAGAGTGCCCGTTCGGCCAAGCCCAGCTGGAAGGAAGAGTTGCAGTTTTCATGAAAATGAATGCTTTAAAACACAGACAGTTTTATCATGAAGACATCTGCTAATTTCAGGCAACAAGCACCGTTTCATTGACTGTTGAAAAGCAGGCTTACAATACCTTTGCAATGAACAGCAATGGCACCTTCAGCATTCTCACAGATGTTTATGAACTTCTTGACTATGCCGTCACTTGGTGTGCTCCCGTCAACGAAGAAAAGATCGCGATGCTCAAAACCAAGGTCGGTAAACCTCTTGGCATCATACATTTTCTTGTTTAGGCGAATAACTGTAGTGATGTTGTGTTTTCTAAAGTAAGGAAAGTAGGCCTCAGGAGCATGAAGAGGGTAACCTTTGTAGAACAAAACAAAGAATTATTATAGCAGTCTGTGGTCAAGATGTGAAGCAGTCAATTTCTGAGCAAGGTATCAAGAGAAATATCACTATCTAAAAATATTGCCATGCTTTTTTGTTAATGCCTAAAGAGACATCATTAATTCTTGATGGAAATCAAGTCAATTTATTTATGATGCGCTGTTTTTTTTGGGGTTTGCTTGGCCAGCTACCACACAGATAAACTCACAGTCCTCCAACCTATTCTAATGACGCTGAAGAACAGCAGTTTGCTGCATTCACTAAGTTAAAGGGACATTTACAGTCACAGGCCAATACCAGGCAATG